GCAGTGTGGCATGAAAGGAGGTCACGAGTCACAGAAAAAAGCCCCTGTGATAAAGGCCTGATGACTGTTAATAGATCAATGTTTGAACCATTGGTCTGAGCGGGGGCATCCCTGTTAGGAAAACACAACATAGTGTCTTAGTAAGGAGTATGGCCCACACATGCAGCCAGAACAGCTTCAGTGTGTCTTGGCATTGATTCTACAAGTCTCTGAACTCTACTAGCGGGATGAACATCATTCTTCCAAATCAGTCTCTCATTTGGTGTTTTGTTGATGGTGGCAGAGACATCAGGCCAAAATGTCCTACAGCTGTTCAAATGGGTTGAGATCTGGTGACTGCAATGGTCATAGAATATGATTTTCATCATTTTCATACTTATCAAACTGTTCATGACCCCTTGTACCCTAAGGATGGGAACACTGTCATCCTGGAAAAGAACACTCACTTGTTCGGGTTTTTCCTTTCATTTGTCACCCGTCTGTATGTCATTACACAACATTCAGGGTTTTTGATGCAGCTGCTTCAGCACAGAGATATTTATCTATGACTCAGACAAACTCCTCTCCATCTGAGAATGTTTTATGAAATGAACCAAGGGCTCAGAGACACCTATTTCCTGTCCCTCATAAAAAGTCATCCTTCTGCTGTGAGCATACTGGATTAGGCATGGTCACCAGCAATGCCTACGGACGGTGTGCACTCATACTGGGGTTTGCCAGTCATTGGTTAAACAGTCTCTCCTCAGTACATTAAGAGTATTTTTCAAAGTATAAAGTTTCTGCAGTCACTTCTGTTCAATCAGCTGTGCTAATTGACTGTGACTCCATAAGTCTGCCATCTTTCAGTGTTACATAAAAGGATATCATTTTATTTTTGATTGAACAGCAGCTCAGTCTGTTAGTTTTCCACCAGCTCTGTCACTCTCTCACTCACTCTGCACTATATGATTTGACTTATAAAACATCTTGAATAATGAGTAAATTGTATGTGTGAAGTAGTTTGCACAACATGGCTGTGGCTGAGGCAGACTTTACATAGCAGCAAGGAGCTGAGCCAGCTCTGGCCCTGGCCCTTGTCCTGGCCCAGCCCCAGACTGCCAGCAGCAAGCTAGACATTTTTGTTCCCAGCTGTAGCTTGCCCCCCACCCCCCTGCATCTGTTCACTCCCTCTCTGTCTGGCAAAGTGGGCAGACATCACATATTGGGATATTATTTATACCAACAATGGGCAGATTGTTTATTTGTACTGAACTGGTCACAGCTGTGTGCAACCTAAAATCAGAAAAAGTTGGGATGTTATGTAAAATCAAAATTAAAACTGAAAATAGTAAATCATCTGTGTCCTGTATTACACTGAAAACAATACAGCAGCACATCACTAGATGTGATGCCTCATCAATTCCAAAAAAAGCTGTGACAGTAAAGCATTTACCACAGTGTCATGTTGCCATTCCTTCTCACATAACTTAAAAGATGTTTAGCACTCACACCCTTTTCCTCTGTAGTCATGCCTTTGACCATGTGCGCAGTATGAGATTTTACATTGTCATGTTGAAATATGCATGGACATCCCTGGAAAAGATGTCGGCTTGAAGGCAGCATATGTTGCTCCAAAGTCTGTGTATTTTTTAGCATTAATGATACCATCACAGAAGTCTAAGTTACTTTTGCCAAGAGCACTGACACAACCCGAGGCCATGACAGATCCTGGCTTTTTGACTTGCTACTGGTAACAGTCTGGATGAACAGTACACGTTACCACTGTGTGATGGTCCAACTTTTAAACTACGTTGTAGCAAAGCACAGAGTACAGATGTGCTGGGCAAATAGATAAACTGCTCAGTGTCTCTCAAATACCTCCAACACAGAACTCTCCTTAAATTCAGAAATGTGTCATGCGTCAGAGACTCGCTTGCTGTTCCTCCCTGTGCCCTGCCTTTAGGCTAAACTAAAGACATCCTGAATCCAGCTCAGTAACAATTAGACATGAGTGATATTGATCTTCTTATCCCTCCCACGGAAAGAAAGATTACGCCTTTAAATTTGGCTCAAATCTATGCAAAGAGAGAGAAATAGATGGCAAGAGAAACAAAGATAAATGAAATACAATACATACAAATATGTGGGAGGTGAGTGAGAGCCAGTGTCACTGATGAATTCTCTGTAACATGAAACCACTCAAAGTACAATATGTCATCACCTGACTCTATTAAAGCTCTTGTTTCCATAGTTGTATTGACATCACCCGGAAGTTAAATCAGAGCAAACCTGTTCTCCGCCTGTATGCAAACACTCAACGCATTGTGCTCAAAGAGTTGTTCTTTGTTTAATTATTATTTTCCCAAGGACAGGAAGATTTCCCCTTATTGCCCAATCAGCTATATTGCCATCCCACACAGATGAATAGTGAGCATTGTGCGTCTCTTCTATGTAGTGATTAGTGCCAGCAGCCAGAAGTTTGATACCTCCCTGTGAAATTTTGTTTACATAAGAGCTTGGTTTTTGATCCAAACGCTCACTGCTGAAGTATGCCACCTCTTTCTTCTGACAAAATATCATGCATTGCCTCTACTGTACACTGCTTCCTTTCTGTACTTTTTTGTCTCCAATGGCTCACTCATGTGTTTCTTAAATTAGGGATGTCTGTCAAGGGTCTCTGGCAGCAATGTTAAAACAAAAGTGGCAGATACATCACGTACACCCAAGCAGAGAGAAACTTTATGGTAAGTTTTAGATCATGAAGAGAGAGAGATACAAGATTTTGTATCAGTGCAGTTAGATCATAATGTAACTGCACATTTATGGGTGGGGAACAAATAGAAAACACTGAAAAATGCATAGTGGAAAAACTCCAACAGACTTCTGTTAATCAGTGTTTTTATGAATCAGCATGTATGCACGTTCTTAAGAAAAACATGCATTTCCAGTTTTTGAAAGTGTACAGTAGAATGAAAATGCATGTCAGTGGAAACACTGATTCATTCTTGTGGTATGACAGCACCAAGCAAATGTTATTGGTTAGGATGCCATTACATGGGCAAATGTGCTGTTACTCCAAACCTAACACACCCCAAAAATGCACCCTGGTAAGGGTGTGTGTACATGTGTTGACAGGTGTAAATGTGTATGTGTCATAGCTGTTAGGTGGCATGTGGGGACATGGCTGTGTGTGTGTTTCTGTTGGCATGGATGCTGTTGATTCTCTGGAGTCTACTAAATGTACCATAGCTGCGTGTGTGACACACACACACACACACACACGCAAACTCAGTTAGGGCACATGCCTGTGGCTTGCTTTAGTCTGTGGTTGGTGCAATGATGACAGGCTCACACACACATATTCCAGGACCCCCACAAACATGACCTGGCTGAGCCTCCATGGTATATTGTACTGCTGACAATGCTATCATTACTTGTAATTACTCTTAAGAATGGACACTAAATTGTTTAGTGTGTCTCTAAATGTCTGCCTGCTTCCTTCTCAACACATCTCCCCTCAGTGATAGTTCTTTACTTAGCACGTAGCAGTACCACAATGTGGAAATACTCTATTACAAATAAAGGTCCAGGAAGCAAAATTATTATACTGTTATAGGTATTGCACTCATTATGCAGGCAGAATGACTACTCACTATTTTCATATATTACAATATTGTGCACTATTTCTCATGCATTAACAGGATAATTGCTAATTTTTACTATTATATATACTGATGATTAGTTCAATGCACTGTATCTTCATGATAGTTTTTAAAATATCTTTACAAACTAACTTGTAACAGCAAGTATCAAATAAATGTATAGTAGTACCTTAGAGTTACATACAGCAAGTGAATAAATGTCCTTAGTTATTTTTCATCACAGATCCACAATGACAATGTGTCACTGT